GGTTTATTATGTTCACAATTTAGATAATTTAGAGTTATTGTGGTTTAATTTAAACCAGAGATAACTATATATAATGTACAAATGAAGCATCTTGATGCATATAACCATTGTATTAAATAAAGGTCTAAAAGTCAAATCCTTTTAAAAAAGAAAGAAACACTCATTTCAATAATATAGGAATGATTATTAATTAATGGTTGCATACTTGCATGTGCCAATAATTGTGTACCTTAGTTGAGCCAATTCTCCCTGCCATCTAATTAGAAGGAAATGGGTCTAATTTTTCCTATGAACTACAGCTGAAGCCTAATTTGTCTCGCATGCCACCACATCTGCAACACTAATACAAATGGACAAAAGATGTTTCTTAAATTTTAAATGAAATCTTGTGCACTTTCCAATGATAATCACTTGCACAATTGATTATATTTAAATATTTTAAATCCCTCTCATGCATTAAATTCTATTTTTGTTAAGCTTATGATTGTTGCCTCGAGAAGCATGCAACAACCTTAGAAAGCATGAGATAGCCTCGAGAAGTGTGTTACCGCTGCCAAAAGTATGTCATTACGTCGAGAAGTACACAACAAACCAGCATGACACATCATCTTGAGAAGCATGTCGAGACATTGAAAGGCATGCAATACATTGAAAACATGCATAAACACTGTGCTAGTGCTCTAAAAAGCGTGCAAGTGTACAATGCAAATACATCATGTGTATGTCATCCAATATGCAAATATTTTCACAAGTGTCATATTTGAACATGTCATGCATATGTACTATGTAACACACAGACATATCATGCATATATGCTATGCAGCATGCAACCACACCACACATATATACTATGCAAAATGTAAACACATCGTGTATACATTTGATCTAACATGCCTAAATGTCATATACATGTACCATACAACAGTCAAATAGATCATGCTTATTTACTATCCAACACTCAAATTCACCTGTGAATATGCTTTGCATATACACTGGATAGCATGCAAATGCATTATGCATACATGCTGTGTAATTTGCAAATGTGTTTTGCAAACACATGTGCACCATGCAAATGAATCATGCACGCATACTAAGTAACAAGTGAATGCACAATACAAATGCATTGCATAAATCATATAAATATATTAATCACCACGCAAATGCCCTATGACACTTATGAAAGTGCATTATGCTAATCATCAAATGTATCATGCCAATCATATAAATACATTATGTCAATCATGCAAATGCATCATACTAATCATATAAGTATGCAAATCATGCAAAATGTATTAATCAACTTGCAAATGCATTATGAAATATGCACTAAAAATATTCATGATATTTAAAGGAAATTTGATCCATACATGTGTTCTAACAAACGTGCTAAATCTACAAGCACAAATATCTTATAATGTTATGTGGGGGTCAAAAGCTAGCCAATGTAAAATTCTAATTTCAAACTATTTCCCCACAAGTGCTTCGACCGTCGTATATAACTCCTAATTCAAAGGTCTGAGAAGACTTCGTGGGTTAACTATCAAAGTTCAATCCTCCTCCTTGAAAGAAATGGAGTCGACACAACTTGGATTAACGATGAATGCCAATCTCAAAATTCATCAAGGGATTTTATTTGAAAGTTCACGTTAGACCTTCAAAGGCTCTTTAAGGGTTTGTTTGATTGGCTAAAAAATGAATGCATTGTAAAAGGAATACTTTAGAGTTGTTTGGATGAATATAAAGTAAATGCATGTAATGAGGATGCTCAGGTAGATGAGTGACTTTACTCTCAGAGACAGGATATGAAATGAGCATGTACGTGAAAAGGTTGGAGTAGCTCCAATGGAAGATAAGATTAGATAGAGTCATCTTAGATAGTATGGTCACATAAAAAGCGGCCTTCTGATGAGCCGATTAGGAAAGTAGATGTATTAGATTTGACTTATGTTAAGAATGTTAGAGGTAGACCTAAAAAGACTTGGTTAGAAAATATTAGAAATGACATTTCTTTATTAGATTTAAATGAAATTTAACTCTTAAAATTACACAATGGAGAAAAAAGATTCATGAAGCCGACCCTATATAGTCGGATAAAGGCTTGATGTTGTTGTTGATGTTGTTAAGTAATGAATGTAGTGTAAAATTAAAAAATGTGGTGGCCGGCGGAGGGTGACGACGATGGTGGCCAGTGGAGGGTTGCGATGGGTGGCAATGGAGATGGTGGCAGGCGGCAAGTGGATGCAACAGCCCACGATGGTGGTGGCCGATAGTTAAGCGGTCTTGCTTGTGGTGTAAACGGTTCTCGCTCAAAACTGGTCTAATCTAGCTTATTTCAAAAAATGAATCGAAATAATTTACACTACATTTACTTTATTTTGCACCACTTTGTATTGTAACCAAATAACCCATAAATGAAATTCATTATAAGCTCTTGATTCTTAGTGTTTGTATAATAACTCATGAGATCAGTCATTCGTCAAACTCAATCCTATGTTGGTGGGTAAACATAGTTGAGGTCTAGACAACTAAAATACAAATTATATAAAACCTTGATAATTTCCATATTGAAAACTATTCTCAACTGAAGGGGACTCTACTTCTTAAATTCCTCCAAATATCAATGAAATACATATATTATAAAGTGACTTTGTCTCCCCAATGATCACCTTGTTGAAAGTTCATCTCAACTGAAGGGGTCAATGATCAAATTTTATCAAAATCTTAAAACTTCATATCTATTAAAAATTCTAATATCAAAAATTGAAATTAACCATCTAAACTTAAATCAAAACTCATCCACTCTCCACAATAGTTTAGCAAGAGCGATAAATTTAAGAATGATTTCAGCTCATAAAGAGCAAATGTCTAGTTGAGAATATCAATTAGATTCATTCTTAAATAATTTTTTACTAGTAAGGATGTAACATTTATCCTCTAACTGGTGGTTTGGCTAGACAGCTCCACAAAACTCGTTGTTTGGCTAGACGGTTCTACGTGGTATGGTTATAACTGATCCTCTAATCGATGGTTCAGCTAGATAGCTCTACAAAGAACCCGTAGCTTGGCCAAAACATCTTTATGTAATAAACGTTTATGATTGTGACCTTCTTACTTAATGGCTTCATCAAACAACTCCATTGTATTAAAGTCATGGTTAAAAGCATGTATGTTCCCCAATGGCTAGTCATTATTCAATAATGAATTATAATATGTAATCGATAGCGCACAAAATTCTTTGTAAGCTAAAATCGACTTGTATTCGTCCCTTAGACAAATATTCACCCAAAGTCTTCAAAATACCCAAGTAACCTATAGCTGTCGACAATAATCCTTCGATCAATTGGGTCGATTACTTTCTCAAAATAGACTAGGATTCCTCAACGTTCCACCACCACCACCATCCGCTTTAAGTGTAAGGTGGTGTATTCTCAATTTTAAATATTAAATTTGATATATAAAATTATTACTATTATACGTTGAATGCTAAGTATATAATTTAACAATTAGTCTTAATCGAAAGTGCTCTCTCATTATCGAGGGAGCTAAATATTTATAGGGGCTTGCTCTTATGAGGAAAACTAGAACTCGGATCCTTAAACCCCTCAGTAAGAGGCCGAAATCTTTGAGTGATGTTTTATCTCTATATAATCTACCTTTCAAAAATTTCTACCGGAACATAATATGTTAAAACTCTCTTGGACTATATGTAGAAAATCGGGTACAAAAGCTTAAATTCAGAGCCCACAAATCCATAAGGGATGACAATACGGATTTTTTTTTTTTTTTTTTTTTTTTTTTTGTGAGGAGGCTAAGCCCAAGAACAAATTTTCTTCAAACAAATCATGATTGGCCTCAGATTGAATGGTACAGGAATGTTTAGTATAAGAAGCAGCCTCTTAGATCCTGTGTATATTTGGAGAGATTATTAGGGGCGGAGTGCGAACGGGGAGAACCGTCCGCACAAATATTAGATACCTAACGGTACCCACACTCGATACCGCTGGGTACCCAGTACTTGTGAGAACGATGCGCACTTCGCATCTAATAATTTTTCATATATTTGGCTTGCTCTGGTAGGGGGGCCTAAAAATTGCTAATACTCTAATGAAGTGGAATATCCCTGTTCTTCTCCGCTGTTATGTAATTGCAATTCAGAAAGTTCACACATTTCCTTCGAATGTGATTTTTCTTTCAACTTTGCAGATTTGCTCAGTGTTTTGGCTCTTTTTCTGCTTCACCTGAATATTCTGCCAAGTGTTTTAGTTTATTAACAAACTACAGCATGCCCCATCTGCAATAAAAAATGCTTACTATTTAGCTATTTCTTCTCCCATTTATCACCCTAAGGGAGAAGGAAATAGAAAGCCGTTTGGGAATGAAATTAATAGCCAAACGCCTTATTTATTCAGATTAAAGCTTCGAATGAATTTCTTAATGCTCCTTAAAGCAATTTTTTTAAAAAAAAAAAATTTAAATTATAAATTTTCGTATTAAAAAAATGTTCCAAATAAAACTTAAATGAAGTGTGATACAAAAACTTAAAAGCTGAAAACATCTCGACAATATGAAAGAGGCATTTTCTTAAGCTTAAGCTTTCAGTTTGATTCAGTTCGGCAATGATGATCAGCTTTTGCCTCTTGATTTCTTCTACTGCTATTTCACATCCCCTGAACTGTCTTCTTGTTGCATCAGGCAACCGGGGTGCTCTTTGGGCTACCTATTTTAATTCATGGGTGAATTTTTGTGCTAGCTGAACCGAACAATAGTTGTCTTTCAATTTGTTTAGCCTTTTGGTTTTGGTATTTGCTATTTATTGCACTACATGTAAGCCCTTTTGCTGGAGAGATTATTCTGTGCGGACACCGGGAGAACCGTCCGCTCAGTACCGACACTCGGTACAGCTCGGTACCGTGCTCGGTACTGAGCACGGTACATTTTTGAGGTGACGTGGCACATTTTTATTAGTCTCTGAATGACGTCCAAAAAAAAAAAAGAGAGAATAATAATACTGACCTAGTTCATAGACAGACAGGTACTAGCACGATATTTAACGTGTTATTTCACTTACTCAAAATATTCCTCCAGTATAAAGTTCCTCCATATATTGATTGTCTAATGGTGAGCTCATGCAGATTGAACTCCACCAACACTGCAAACTTTTTAAACTAGATTAAAACAGTCCATCCTGAAGGCCGATGAAACGAGACCGCAATACCATATATATATATCTTTCAAGATATGTGACCTTTGCTCTTTAAGCTTTCAACAGCGTCCTTTATGATTTGCTCAATTGGAACGAATTGCAAGCCCAAGTTAATCAGTTTCTTTGAAGGATATTGGGCCCTCAACAGTCCAGGTTGGGTATCCTTGGGGAACCTGAGAAGGGGAAAAGGGGAAATGAATGAGAAAAACCTCATCAACTTTACCATCATCATTAGCCTTATCAATTATACAAAAAAAAAGGGCTTAAATGTTGGAAGGAGATGGAGGGTTTTACTTCGGTAGATTGTATTCTGGGTAAAGTTCTGCAACTTTTGAAGCAAAGTCGCTGAAATGAATTATGCTTTCAACACAAAGATGCCTCCCAGACGCAGATGGATTTTCATATAAAAGAATATGCGCAAGCGCAACATCTTTGACATGAACAGAACCCATGTAAAAGTCCTCATAGTGTTCAGTGCACCCTGAAACAAATTAATGCCAAATATTTGTTAAGACGCCTATCTAAAAAGAAAAATCTTGCAAACCAACTCAAATAAATAGAGAGAACGGTTTGTTCAACGACTAAGGCTTCATTTGGGACTTTCTTTCTGCTTCTTAAAGCAGTTTTTTAGTATAAAAATTTTCATTTTTGTACTAGAAAGCTGCTTTATGAAGCAGTAAGAAAGATGTCCCAAACAAAACTTAAAACAGTAAGGAAAAGGATTTCCTACAACTGCCAGGTGGAAACAATATAAGCACTAAATTACGTAGCACGCTTCTGTTACTCATACAAGAAACTGAAATTTCCTTGTGCTAAAAAGAAAACAAGGGAAATCTCTCAGAGATGGATTATGATTGAAGATTTCCCAATTTGTCAAGCCAGTTGTGGCAAGACTCATTAAGGGTAAAACTGTAAAATAAAGTATGAATCTGTAACTTGAGGAACACTGGATTCATCGTAATAACAGCTAATGTTGATTTAATAAAGCAAGTGAGTCCACAGAAACCAAAATAAATTTGATTTATCTTATTTAATCTATTAAAACCCTTTAGTTCAGTCACATTTGTAAGATGCTATGCTTCTAGCAGCCTTCCAATGAAGAATTACATAATCATAATGCCTAATTTTTAAAGTCACGTGGAAATTTTTTAAGCCAGTCTACCTTAGTCCGGATATATAAGCTAGGTTTTGTGAACTAAGAAATAAATTCTATAAGTTTGTACCGTGAAATATAAGGATCTTATTCATTACGTACTTCTAGAAATTAGAAGAGATAGTCAGCTTTGTTTTTTTAGAAGGGAATGGTTGGTTAGAACTACCTTGCATGGGCTGATGGGCATATAGATATCCTATCCCTTTTTCCTTCTTCATGACATTTCTCTGGTCCTTGTTTCATTTCCTTTCAACTCATCTTAGCCACTTATTGAGATAATGAGATTTCATCAGTTCGGTCATCAAGTTGGCCACCACCAAAATTGATCATTGCTATCAAATTATGAACAATATTTGCCTTATATTTAAATGGCATGTCTAGGAGACTTTTTTTTTTCAATGAAGTCAGATATATTGGGGGGCAAGAACACATGTACCAGTAATTTGTTGTGCTTTCTACTTTGGGGAAGGAACTCAGAGGAGTATTTGTGTTATCCAAGACATATTACAATGTAAGAGATGCATCTATTCATGGTTAGTTCTAGTATGAGACAGAAGCAATATAACTACAACTAATATATGTAAACGCTCATTATTTTAGACCATAATGTATTTAGTAGTGTAAAAGTTGCTCGTCCAGTATGATTATTTGGTTAAAAAATTGATATAGAACAAAATGATTGATTAAATATGTAGGGTTGAAAATAACACGCCTTCTGAATTGGAGCAATATTAATTATTTTAGCTTCTCGAAACTTAAACAAAAGTTAAAACTTGGAAGATGATTAAAGCTTAGGCCAAACTACATGTAAAAGTTTAGAAACATGAATAATCAATACTAATCAAGACTAGCAAGCAAGGGGAGTTCAATAGAAATCCCTAAATTAACAATAAGAATAGTTACTAGTAGGATCCCTCACTCAACTCTTTTAATGATTGGTAACACGGAGAAAGCATTGTATGATCTTTGTGATGCCACAAATTAAGGTAAGACTCAGAAAGGATAAAAAGATTTGGAGGAGAGATTCACCTTGATCAAGATTTGGAAATGATCTGCCACTGCACGGAAGATAGTTGTTCATTGATGACTTCGGCGAGGGTGAAAACGATCATTTATACATATTCCTTTACAGTTTGGTCAACCTCTGGATTGATGTCGAAGAACAGTGAGTTGAGAATATCTACTTGACCTTGATCGTGGTAAACGAACTCGTGGTCACGTTCTGGATCCGCCATACATTAGTGGACAACAACTTCAAGTTTATGAAACCTTCAGACAGCAATAGAGACCCTTTTGGACGGCAGGACAACAATGAGAAATTGCGGGAAAGTTAGAACAGCACTGGATCTTCTTCTGGATAGCAAAGGAATTGGCTGAAATTCTGGACAGCATGCCGGATTTGTACAGAAATCTGGACAGCAATTTGAGAGGTGAAGATTTTCGAGTTTCGACTCTCTTGATGCAAGGAAACTTGGAGAATATCATGGGGAAACAGGTGAACAACAGTTGGAGAATCCAGGGATTAATTTACTTGCCTAGGCGGAAAGCTAATTAAAATACATATGGCGAAGAAGGTTGGCATGATTGATCATTTCCACAAAAGATGGTGGACAAAGAAGATACTTGATAAGGTGGAGGGTAAGTCTGAGTCAGATGATACATGATTAGAGCATGAGGAGCTTCAACAGATTGACCCATATGTATTAGAGATCTATGAGAGCACCCGAGATGCGTACTCGACGGAATCGAGCTTTTTTTTCACCCCGGGAGAATGATGAGGACATCCGACCTTGGCAAGTCTACCAGAGACGGGGCCGTCGATCTACGGCCACAATCGCACTGATTTATTTTTGAGTCATTATATGTATTTGATTTATTTATGCATTTTAGTTTCTACCCTCACTTGAGGGAATAGTTATTTGTGACCCTTAGGGGCATTTGTGTCTTTAATTCTCTTTATTGTAAACCCTATCTATTTATATTCTCTCCTCTTTGGAGAGGTTAATGAATGTTATTACAAAAAAAAAAAAATCTACACTTGTGTGTTTTGGGAGAGCTTGAGAGTTCTTGAAGAGATTGAAGTCTCTAGGTGAGGGCACCGCAATACCCACCAATCGCAGGATGCGTCCGGGTTCGTGGTCGACTTCCTCCTTCCCCTTCTTCCCCTCCCTCCCCACAAACGACCGTCCATACTCCCCTTCCTCCCTCTCGGCCGAACCCCACCAACACCTCTACAATCCCAGCCGGCCATTCCAACCCCCAATTCCAAGCCGCTGGCCATAAAGCTACCCACCTCTTCTTCCAAACCGATGGCCTCAACCCCAACTCCAAGCCTTAGCCGCCGGCCACTTCCCCTTTACCCTTTCCCTCCAAGTTTCAAACCTAGTAATTATGAATTTCCTAAATTAGCTTTCCTAAGTTTGGAAACTATTTGAATTCAAATGCCCTCATATTTGAATTTAAATTTCTTTCCCAAAAGAAAAGAGTTATCTTTGGAAAGGATCCACAAATCATATCAAATAGAATCTTAATTGGGATTGAAATTAAACCCCTTTCCTAATTTAACATTCTAAATCTAGATCTTAATTATTCCTTCAATTAATATCCAATCAATTCCATTAAGGGCTACCGCCCCTCCCTCCAATTGATTTTTAGATTTCCTAAGTTTGGAAACTATTTGAATTCAAATGCCCTCATATTTGAATTTAAATTTCTTTCCCAAAAGAAAAGAGTTATCTTTGGAAAGGATCCACAAATCATATCAAATAGAATCTTAATTGGGATTGAAATTAAACCCCTTTCCTAATTTAACATTCTAAATCTAGATCTTAATTATTCCTTCAATTAATTATCCAATCAATTCCATTAAGGGCTGCCACCCCTCCCTCTCTCCTATTCAATTAAATGCCCTATTAAACCTCCAATTAATAAGTCCCCTCCAAGACCAACCGCCCCTTCCTCCCTCTCTCCAATTGATTTTTAGATTTAATTAGCTTGCCGCCTAGGCAAGAAAATTAATCTCTGATTTTTTCCACTGTTGTTCACCTATTTCCCCACGATATTCACCTAGTTCTCTTGCAACCAGAGAGCCGAAACTCGGAAATCTTCACCTCTCAATTTGTTATCTAGATTTCCGGACAAATCCGACGTGATGTCCAAAATTTCAGCCAACTCCTTTGCTGTCTAGAAGAAGATCCAATGATGTCCTTTCCCGTGACCTCTCCTTATTGTCCTGCCATCCAAAAGGGTCCATATTGTTGTCTGAAGGTTTCATAAACTTAAAGTTGATGTTCAGTAATGTATGGAGGATCTAGAACGTGACCACGGGTTCGTTTACCACGATCAAGGTCAAGTAGATATTCTCAAATCACCATTCTTAGACATCAATCCAGAGGTTAACCAAACTGTAGAGGAATACGAAGAAAGGATCGTCTTCACCCTCGTCGAAGCCATCAACGAACAACTATCTTTCGTGCAATGGTAGATTGTTTCCAAACCTTGATCAAGGTGAATCTCTCCTCCAAATCTTTTTATCCTTTCTAAGTCTCACCTTAATTTGTGGCATCACAAAGATCATACAATGCTTTCTTTGTGTTGCCAATCATTAAAAGAGTTAAGTGAGGGATCCTACTAGTAACTATTCTTATTATTAATTTAGGGATTTTTATTGAAACTCCCCCTTGTTTGCTAGTCTTGATTAGAATTGATTATTCATGTTTCTAAACATTTACATGTAGTTTGGCCTAAGCTTTAATCATCTTCCAAATGTTCTAACTTTTGTTTAAGTCTCGAGAAGCTAACATAATTAATATTTCCCAAATTCAGAAGGCGAGTTATTTTCAACCCTACATATAAGCAAGCATTTTGTTCTACATCAATAAGGCCTCAGATTTTGCACCATCTGTTAAAGAGGCAAGGACAAGACTTTTAAAGGTGAAGGCTAGAATTGATATTCCAATATATGATAGTTTTACCGATGCCATGAAGTTATATGCAATGGTTGCAATGAAGACTTGGATTAATCTATATATGGGTACACTTCCCAAGAGAAGGTCTCTATTTGCCCACCTCAAATGCATCAAGCATGTTTTAGCATTTGAATGTCCATCTACATTTTGGGCAACATAATGTTTCCTGGCAGGTTTTCAAATAGATGCTCTCATAAGAGTCCTACTGATAGGTACCACTTGAGTATTTCAAGTGATTCCTATCGGATCTAAGCCAAATCACAAGTATCCCGCTATTTTCTATGGGAAAACAGCCACCAAACACCAAAAACAGCGGAAAAATCTGAGAGAACACATAGGAAAATAATAGGAAAACAATAGCAAACGATTGTATTCCACTAATCGATGCAAAAGACAAGAAAGATACAATTTTCCTTCGATTCGAGAGGAAGGAAAGACTCTCCAAATCTCTAGCTGTAGCCTAGAGCCCAAAAGAAAAAAAAACTAGATCTCCAAATCACATTCAAAATCAAGATGAAAAACTAAAACCTAGGTTAACTCCCTCTTAATACAATCTAATTCAAAACAAAAGCAAAAGGACATCTCTACTCTTCATTCTCCCTCCAAAAACACTTAAACTTTGTTTGAATTGCAAGTGGACCCCACCCCCAAGCTCTTTCTCTCTTCCGCCAGGTCTCTGTCCCGCTTCCGCCTGGAGAAGACCCGGACCGGCTGGGCTGGTCCAGGTTGGACCGGCCTAACACCTACCTAATAGGGTTTGAAAATAAATGATGGAGAAAATTTTGTGGCCTTTGTCAAAAACAAGAGCAACTTAAGCAACAATACACCACTAAATCTAGGTTGCATGCCATTTTCCCTGGCACCGCTCTTAAGGAGATGTTTGTCATCATAATAAAGATATGGACTACATTCCTACATCTCAGATGAACTTGCTCTCTTTGCCAACAAAGACATCAACCTAGAAAGTGATTTACAATGGCCATTGAAAGATAGAACAAGACTCATAGGGAGAAGTCTTCTAACCCTCAATAAGGAAGACCCACAAAAACCCTGAGAAGAATAAGAAAAAGTTTTCAAAAAATAACACCCAGAAAACCATTAATTATTCCAAACTCTTTTGTGCATGTTCAACAGTAAATATATTTCTTATGACTCTTATTCACTAGAAGACTCATTTATTCATAATCAAGAATTGGTTACAATGATCTAAGATACAACCAAATAATCATAAGAAACTCATACCAAAAAAAGAGTACCTTTGTAATTAAAGGTGCTAATAATCCATGTCAAGTTGAAGCATAAATATCAGTTAGTTCTAACTTATTATATAATCGAGAGAAAGGAGCATGAACCAATATTTTATAAAGATATAAACTACTTTTTCCAAACTGGAGATATAAGCATTGACAATCTTCTTATAGATAAGATTCCGATTAAAATGGCAATTAATATGTTTGGTTCTTGTATGAAACACAAGGTTCCTTCTAAGTGAGTGTGTGTGTGATTTGGTGACACCATTTTATAAGTAACCAAATATTTTCATATTTCATAGCATATTTGTACGTTATTATAAGACTCTTAAAAAATAAATATATTTTCCCACATTGCATTTATAACCCATATTCCCATAACCAACACATCATCTCATGGCTCATCCTAATAGGTATATGCCCATGTAAATCATCACCAATAAATATCCTTTTTTCAGCAGGTACATGTTGCAATAGTTCATTTATTTCTTTCAAAATTGATATTTTAAGATTCTTCAATCAAACTTAAGGAGTATAAGCATTGACCGTATTCATAATTCTTCTTATCATAATATTCACCAATTCTCTTGTCTTTACATTTTATGTCCCAAAATTGCATGTGGCAAATCAATCTTAGATTTTGATCTAATCAACACTCGCTTATGTTTTATAACGATTGGGATAAATTGTGGTGATTATTAAGGGAGACATCATAGCTTCCCCATATTTATTTTTCACCACAATTAGGTTAAATTGTGGTGCATCACTTAGAGGCAACATCCTAGCCCATGCTTGTCTCTTTCTCACCCTAATCAGGTTAGATAGTAGCTCGTAGCTTGTGGGGAATGCTTTAGCACTATCTAGCAAGTATATTTAATTAATATAAAAGGATTATGAGACATAAGGGATTGATTAGACATAACATCCCTAGAAGTAAGCCAAATACTTGTACAAAATAAAGTTAACAACTTATGGTAACACTAAACGAATGAAAGCAGGGTGATTCACAAAGTTGACCTCATGGGTGCATTTGGATGGCAACCTCGTGGAATTGTTAAAATGGCAAAAATTATGCTAAGCTATTCAAAATTCTAATTAGTTGTTTGAACACAATAATAATATATATAACAAGCCTTTATCCCACTAAATGTAGTAAGCTAAATAAATCATTTTTCCCTATTGTGTCCTAGTAAAAGTGAAACTTTCATTTAAATCTAATAAAATTTTCTTTTTTAATAGATTCTAACTGAATCTTTCTAGGTCTACCTCTACCTTTCTTAATATAGGTTGGATCTAATATATATACTTTTTTAACCGGGTCATCAGAAGGCCATTTTATGCAACTAAATCATTTAAGGCATCTCTCTCTGATCTTATCTACCATTGGAACTACTCTAACATTTTCACATACAACAACAACAACAACAACAACAATAATAATAATAATAATAATAATAAATTAATCAAAAAAAAAAACACACAAAAAAACTGCGAACAAGCAAAAGTATGAGTTAAAATAAAGAAAATTCGTTTGCTAGATGCTTACCTCCGTTTTACAAAAGCACCAAAATTGATAACATGCATATCATAATTATTGTTCCGTAGCTTTTCTCCTCGAGCAAAATAAAAGCAACGTACCTTGCAGAAGTCGAAGCAGCATCAACATGCTGGCATTGATACTTGGCGGGATGATAGGTCCCATTACAGTTCCTGGATTCACCACCACCAAATCCAACCCATTCTCCTTGGCAAAGTCCCACGCTTGCTTCTCAGCCATAGTCTTTGAAGCCGGATACCAGATCTGAAACCCATAATCCATTTAGTTTTAAACCCATCTAAAACCCTAATTTTACCACAAACAGCATTGAAGGAGTACTCGCCCCGTTCTCGCGGCAATATTCAAGATCAGTCCAGCAATTCTCGTCCTTCACGACGTCCGTCGGCCATCCGGGGCTAGGCATGATCGCCGAGATAGACGAGGTTACCACCACCCGGCGAGCGCCCCCATCATGTGCCGCCCGAAGCACGTTGAGCGTGCCCTTCACCGCGGGTTCAAGCAGCTGGGCTTCAGGATCGTGAACGCGATCAACGATGCATGGAGATGCGAGATGGAAGACACCAGTAGCACCGCGGAGGGCGGCGACTATCGAGGCAGGGTCGAGGAGATTAAGCTGGAATAAGCGGAGTCGCTCCGGAGCGCCTTCTAGGGCTTCGAGGTGCTTTGTCTCGGCATCATCCTCTGCAACGAGAAATCATCAGCTCAGCGAGACACTATTTAGGTGTTCTGTTTTAACAGAGGAAAGCGGGAGAAGAGACGGTACGGAGGTTTTGGACAGTGGCATGGACAGTGTAACCACGATCCAGGAGAAGACGGACGAGCCAGGATCCGATGAAGCCAATCTAGCAACTTCAATAAAATAATAATAATAATAATAATAATAAACATTATAAGTCTTTTTAAAATTTCAAGCAATTATGATTTGTGGTATTTCAACTAGTATGTATTATATTAGAAATAATATAAAATTAAATTTTAATTTCATCGATTCTAAAAGCATATTATCATTCATAAGTATAATGACACTTAGGATTCATGAGTACAAAAACACTTAGAATTTTTTCTATATGTCAGCCCTAAGTTTCGTAAACTTAAACAATAGTTTTTGTATCTTTCATAAGACTGGATAGCATGCTTTTTAGACGATTAGGAGGTTTAGTTGGCTTTCTATTTCAGGCAAGAAGTAAGTTCAAATTGCACTTCTTCAGATAAGTTTGAGTTACTGCATTGTAGTACTCAACTTATATCTATGTTCTGAGGTAGATAAAAAATCATAAGTCATCACTCTCTGAAAATATAATCAACCTTTCTAATAAAAATGCCAACTTGAATAATTGATTCTCTCTTAAAATGTAAAGCCAAATTTAGGATAGACTGGGGTTGCCTCTAAGCTTTTTAGAATTTGACACATTTTTTTTCTCCTTTGACCCGCTAAGACTGTTCAACATTGAGCTTTCTCCTACAAAAATTTCTTTTTTTTTTTCTATTTTGTAATCAAAAGGTATGAAATTGTTGCTTTAATCTAAAGTTTTCTCGGGAGAACCCTTCTAGGATGTTATTTACTATAAAGGCTTGCTCTTATAGGGAATTGAGAACTCCATATTAAAATAAATCTTATTTTATTATAGAAAAGCAGGAAAAAAATCTCTTGAAATACATATTATCTTTTCAAACTCATTTCTATTTTTAAAAATATACTTGTAGAATATCATTATCATCTCTCTAGATAATATGTTATTCTTCTCGCTATATTTGACCGTAGAAATGATGAATGATGAATTTTATAAAACACATTCTTATTCTTGGATACCTTGTAGAATACTATATTCATCTTTTGAAATGATATATTATTCTTCTTGTTATCTCTGATTATAAGAACAACTGATTTTTTTTTTTTTTAAGAAACTCATTTCTCTTTTTAAACACTTTCTATAGAATTTCATATTCCTCTTTCAAAATGATATATTATTCGTTGAATTGTGTTTGTTTATAGAAATGTCACTTTTCTAAAAACCATATTTTAATATTGAATCAATTGTATAATATAGTGTTAGTCTCTCGAGACAATTCTTTATTTTCCACGTAGCATTTAATTACAAAATTTGAAAACACCAAATCTGCGTGCGACATTTATTTTCCCCATAGTAGTTAATCAACTAAGAATAAATTGTAGTAATACATTATACAAGATATCTACTTTTTGTGAACTAAAGTTATTCATCAATTTATCATCCTCGCCAAACCTTTGCAAGTAGTTTTAGGTTTTGGTGATTAAATGTCCATTTCAATATTAAAAATTTGGTGGATATTAATTCTTTTTTAATTTTAACATGCTTTGAGAATTGACCATTTTGGTTAAGATTTTCTATCAATATGACTACCACCGGAGTTTTAAATAATTAGTTATTTAAACTTTGTTAACTCTGTTCGCCCGCTAACAGAAGATCGAGTTGAATTTTATCAAGAAAACATTGAATATATCTTGCTACGATGAAATGCCCACTAACACATGGATTGCATTCTATAGAACAAACATATCTTGCATCAAATGTAAGCATGGCTGTAACCTTTAAAGATGTGAGAAAGTTTTCCTAACAAATCCTTAATAAGATAATACGGAAATTGATGGTTCAGAAAGCAAATTAAATAGCTTACGAAGCACATTTTCTATGCTGCACAGTCAAGTCAACTATACCGCCTGAAAATGGGAAAACTTGCAAGCGAAGTACTGCAAATGTTTTCGAAATCAGTCGAAAACTAAAAGGCAAAAGAAAATCTGAAAGCAGAACTTTAAATGTTTAGAGGTACGGGAATTTCAGAAGATATGTTTCAGTAGCTATTGAAAGAATGATCATAGCTCGTTCTTTTGGTTAATTTTAGTGTTTCCATATGAATCTCTTTGGAAGAAGCTGCGTATAAAATTCAAGAGTTTGCATGCAATGGAACTCGGTTTTGGCGATGGGAATTCCTCCTTTGCCTGTGCAGTGCAGACTGATTCGAAGGTATGCTTTAGATGGGGATTGACGATGCTTTCCTGCATGGAGTGAAAAATTATGTTAAGGTGTGAAATCTAACTAATATCCTATGAAGAAATATTTGTGAGTTATTTATTCCATTAAGAGCATTTTGAGCTTTCATTGTATTTTTCAACTGCGCTAGCTTTCTTAGGGCATCTTTAGACGAAATTGTAAAGATACCTACAGTGAAATCTACAACGGTAGCAACAAGACATAGCCATCAACTGACTGAGGCTTCGTTTGGGACGGTTTTCTTACTTCTTCTTAAAGCAGCTTTTTAATACAATAAATTTAGTTTTTTTACTAGAAAACTGATTTAAGAAGCAATAAAAAAGCCGTCCCAAATCTATATAAATTCTTGACATATTTTGTGCATTGATCTTCTTTATGTTTTATTTACTCTTAGTGATTTGATCAAGGATCGCCTAATTCTCAATATGTTAATCTGAAAGGACAAGAAATTCAGCATATCTAAGTGGAAGTGTTGGAGGAAGATACCTTGAAAACCTGGAAAGAGCAGAAATCTGCGTTGTAGCAGCCCTGCAACAAAATTGCACATTATGAACATGCATTCTATAATGCAGAAATTAATAGCATATTGATAACCAAATGAAATCCAAATTATAATATGACACTATAATTTTAGCAACTGCTACTAATAGCATGGTCAAAGAAGTATTGACTTGATATCTTCAACTGTATGAACATAGAAATATTACACACAATTTGGCATAAACCAGAGCGGCTAACAATATGAGGCAACCTTTCCCTAACTGAAAACTCTCCAATGTCTAACGAAAACGCCTTTCCTATCCAACTGAAGCTCTGTCAAAAGGTTTCTAATCTTTAAAAAGTAAAGCTGGCGCAACTTTGAGCTTAAGCATTCTAAGATTTGGACCTATGATGCACCGACACTTCTCCTCAAAGAGACGTGCAATTTTCGACATGTATCCGACACGACACGCGTTCGACACTCCTCCGACACGTGTCGGACCGAAAACGTGTCCAATTAAAAATAATATTAAATACAAATTGAACAAGCGTTTCTGACATGCGTATCTTAAATATTTTATGAATTTTTTTTAAAATATAATTTCTTGCATTTAAAATTTTACTTAATTAAAATATAAAAATTAAATTTCTTATTTCTTATCCATAACATCAAATCAATCTCCTCTTAACATTGACGCCCAATATTTATTGCATAAAATAAATTCATAACACTTGACAGCATTGTCATCTCCTCTCTCGATGACTAATACATGGCATCGACGCCCAACTCTCGATATCCTAATATTAATCATTTTAATCACAAATTTTAGTTAAATAACTTATTATTTTTAAATTATTTTTAAAATTATACTTATTCAATTTTTATACACCATTTTTAAAATATAAAAAACTATAATACCGTGTCCAACCCATGCCTGTATCCTATATTTTCAATAATTGACGTGTCCTGCCCGTGTCTGTGCATCATAGATTTGGACATATCATATTAACACCATGAGGATGGTTAAAATAGAAGGCATATTTTCATTTCAAACAAATACAATATAACAGTGAGATCTCTGAATTTGAATTAGCACCATCTCAATGAAAATCTGAGTTACATTAAAAAATTTAAGATTAAAATTACTGCTATCAGTGTAGAAACCCTTCAAAAAATGAATAATTTCAGTTGAAGAGGAGGAATTAAGAACTTAAGAGCAAGCTCAAAGAAAATGACTAACATTAAATAATATATCTTACCGGCATGGGAACTGGAATTTCGTTGTGCAGAACCTGCACATAGTACTCGCTTTTGTAGCCTTTGCTTGCACTGATGCTATGCGAAGCGTTGCCAGGACATTGGTGCAAAACCAACATATTATTCACACCAAAAGGCGCGACAGTACTTCCCCTCCACCTTCTTGGTAGAGGAGGTTTTGGTGGCAAACTTAATGGCTCGTCCCGTTGCATTTGTTCAAATTCTAAACACCAAAAGAGAAATATTTGACGTTCAAACAATGATGAAAAAAAAAATTGATAAGTGGAAATGGTAGACACATATAATGGGTATAATTCCAAGAGGTTTATCTTATATGAAGATGTTCTCACCGGACCCTTCAAGAAAAATCCCAAGAAGACAGGTGAAAGGCACAACTGTTTCAGCATGAGCAAATCTGAGCCTCGCCTTCTCAAAAGTTCCAGGTTTATGGTTTTCTGCATATGAGGCCATGGAACAGTAAGCATTTTAACCTCAACAAATGTCTTAAAAATATTATCAGAGTCTAAATCACCTTCTTTGGCCAAAATTGCTTGCTCCATTGACTGAACAACATCTTGAAGCAATGGGAGTCCCATGTGATAGTTTATTGATTTACCATAACCTTTTAATAAAAACAACTCCAAGTCATCTGTCCACTCAAGTAATTCAACCTGATATTGTACATGAACTCAAGATATAAATACGCTCAATTCACAGAGTATGTTAGATTAAAAATGAAACTTCTTTTTTGCCTCTATAAAAAGTAAAATTGGCAATTGCTAAGAAAGTTCAATTGGTTAAATTATTAATCCAGATACATCAAAAAAGTAGTGCATCGTATCATTAAATGAGAATTTAACAAGGCCATGGTTAGGTATGTAGCATTACCGGAGTATCTTCATTGTTATCATAATCACATTAACCATAACCCAACTATTTCCTCTTTATCCATTTATTTCGTTGGGGTGCTAAATGAAGTGCTAAATTTCTTTTGCATGGGTCTTCTTGCACAAAATGAAGAAAATATACCATTTGATCTATTAATTTTCCTTTGTAATCCGTATACAATAATTCCATCTATCTATCTAATATGTGTATCGTCTATCCTCCAATATAAATGTCCAAACTATTTACAACTATTTTCCAACACTTTAATTGTGCAACTGCCTATCTATGTAATCCAATTTCTAATAAAACTGTAGTTGACAATGACGTCGGAACTGGGCCGCTTAATCATGTTAACTTCAGGATAGTTTAATTACATGTAGTTGTTAGTATGGCTATATAGAATTATAGATATAATGTTCCTTATTGATGAGGTCCTGAGGACATAAGATTTCGACACGTGTACCATCGCCGGAGGCTCAAATCGACGGCTACAATCCAGAGCCTTTATTTCTAATTTATGTTGTATTTTATTTATTTTCGCATTTTATTTTCCTAGTTTGCCCCTTTGGGTATTGAGTCACTTGTGTAGCCCCGAGGGCTTTTGTGTCTTTCTAGCTTTGTTGTATCTTGGCATATTTAAAAGAGGCCTCATGCATTGTACTAGATGATGATTTGATAATGAAAATTTCTTTACTTTCTTACATGATCTCTTCGTGAGTTCTTGAGAGAAGCAAACCTTAGTGGGTGAGAGTATTACCCGTCAATCTTGGTGGATTCCAAGAAATTCGCGGATCGTCGCTTTCTTTTCCTCCATCATTTCAATTTCCTCTCCTAAACCTCCCACCGCCGGCCGCCCCTCCTCCACCCCACCGGCCCCACACCAACCTGCCGGCCAACCTTCTCCAAAATTTTGAAATTCAATTTCAGGTGCATCAATTTCTTTCCTAATTTGCATCCCAAGCAATTAGGAAAGTTGCCCTTTTCTTAGAATCAATTAATTGTTGAAATTCTAACGTTTCCTAATGCTTTAGACCATTTAGGAAATTCTTTTATTAGAGCAAATCTGAAATCAGATTTCAGAAAATTGTCCTTTTTCTTAGAATCAATTAACTGTTGGAATTCTAACGTTCCCTAATGCTTTAGACCATTTAGGAAATTCTTTTATTAGAGCAAATCTGAAAATCAGATTTCTGATTTGATTTAGCCTTGTTTATTCACGTTGGGGGGCGGGGGGTGGACCACTGAATTAATCAAATCTTCCCTCTCTCCCCATGGCCGGCCACTCATTATTCCTCCCCGTAATTAGGAGCTTAATTCATGGATCCAAATAAGGAGCCATTAATTCCTAATTTCCCTCCTAAGCCTAAATTTCAAATTTCAAAATTTGAAATTACAAAGTCCCAATTAAATTTAGGAAAATCTGAAATTAATTTCAGGTTTCCCCCACCCAATCTAGCTCTTGCTTAGCCCCACCCGCCCCTCTCTTACCCGACCACTCTCCCTCCTCTCCCGACCGACCCTCTCACCACCCACCACCTCCTCTCCACCTTTCTCCCCATTTGTGTTCTTTCATCTCTTTCTTGATCATGTATGGCGGATCCCACCATTGATCACGGCTATACTTACAACGCCCAAGGTGAGATCGCATCTTGCTCTCCCCCTTCTACGAGCCGGATTGGGAGTACAACGGCACCGTGGAACGATGCGTCAACCGCATCGTTTATTCTCGTCGAGACTATCGAGCTTCAACGACCAAGAGCTCCGTGGGTCCTCATCGGACAATCCTTGCCTCCTCCACCTCCGGTTTCTTCCCCGGCGACTAGTCCTCTCGGCCTCACTTGTTTATTAGTGGCATCCTTAAGTTTGTGTGCAATCCTCTTCCGCTAAGCCGAGGGACATCAAGAGTGCATGTGAGGGACTCCGAGATGAATGATCTAGATCTTAAACTGTGGATTTTTGTTAAGAGTCATTTGCTTTATTATTTATTTGTTGGATTAATTTTGTTAGTTTCATGTTACTTTTAAATGTAATCGATTGACATTGCTTAGTTCTTCCGTGAAATTTTTCTTACGATCTATCTTGGAAAGCATTCGTTTTTAATTAGCTACGCAAAGTTCACAAGTTATTAATTTCCTACAAGCAATTCTTGCATCGTATTACATCACTTATGGTGGCATGTAGCTTTTTATGTTGCTTCCTTTGGCTATAAATACATAGCCAACTCTTGTAACAGGAGATGGGAGATGAATAATATTTGAGTTTTGTGTTGTGTCATTCCTGTATCATGAGATTGTAGTCAGGTGGTGGATTTTTTTCTCAAGGAGTATTTGGAGTTGTGCTCAGACGCGGTCACCGGATCGTCGACGTGGATTCGTCGAGCCCCCTCCAGTCCGGTGTCAGACAAATAAATAAGAATCAAAGTAAACAATCTGCTAGTCTCGTCTTCTTAGGAACTCATAAATTTAGTTTAAAGCTCAAATTAAAGAAATAAATATTCAACTCCTCAACATATTGGCAAAATATTTAAACAGTGATATTCATATGCATTAAGATGAATTTTGTGCCCCTGAAGTCCCCCTCTGCAACCATACCTCAGAAGTACAGAAAAAATGGAAGTTCACAGAAGCTTACAGATCTAATGCATTCATGAACTGCGCATTAACCAATTTAAAGTGGGCAGAATAACTAATGATGTAAAACATACAAAAATCAAATAATTGATTCATATACTGCATGCATTTATTCAGCTTGTCCTCACAGATTTTTTTTAGAGCGTTATGATAAAAAGTATGAGAGATTTAAAGTAGAATTTTATAGGATTGATTTAACATACCTCGGAAGTAGTAAACAGGTTACAAGCTTGGTCAGTAATGTCCAACAAAGAAGCTTCCTGCAGTACAGTTGAATAGCAGATCTCTAGCTAATAAAAGTCCGATAGAATGGGCAAATTACACCAAAAATTAGCTCATACCTGCTTACAGAGAAACCAAAGTGAAGCCACATCTTGTCTAGTGAAATTAATTTGATAACGTTTGACAAGCTCAGCAGTAATTTCCTCCAAAATTGGCTCTCTGAGCTTATCAACCGCAGGTTCCTGACTTCTCCGGTATTCCTGAAAGAAAACCATGAAACATGTCATTCTTCTAACTAAAAGCAAGAGGAATGCCCTTCCATCATTATGCTACAACCTCAGGTCAGGAACCAAGACATGCACTGCACATTGATCCTTTTTACAACTGAAAGCTGGCAGGGGAATAACCATAACTTGAAAAGAGAATTACAGCTGGGAGTAATTCAGAGGAAAATTTCACACGGATAATTTTGGGTCATTTCGTTTTGACTTCCATTTTTTTTATCTTTACTTTATTTTTCAAAAAGAGGTGAAAAAAAAAAACACGTTAGGCAACTAGGTTTCATTTTTTTTATTTGGATACAAATTGGGTTGTGTTCCGAAATTATGAAAACACCTAAAAGGGGAAGTTTGTTTAGAGGCTGTGTTAAGAAGTGGTTGTAGCTGAAGTTAGTTTCAATGAAGTGAGGTTCAGTGAAGTTAGTTTGATTTGCTTGAACTCATTTATTACAAACTCAGTTCTAGTCCTTATTTTCACAGCAATGAGTTTCAATTTTACCCCCATCTCATCAACTTAATATTAATTTATTACTATTATGAATAAAAGAAATATTCTAACCATTCAATTACCTTTTAATTTTATGAATAAGTATGCATATACCATTCAAAACTTGACTATTAATGAAACTAGCACCTAACTATAAAATTAACTAATAAATCTGTGCATTCTCACATAACATGATTAATTCATTGAGAATTTAATGAATGTGAAAAATATGAGATTTTGTCAGAACCTTTGAGATCTAGGTAATTGTATTGCAAATAGAGCAGTTGTGTTTTATATGTCAATATCTCAATTGTGGGAGTTATATAGGAAATTGCCACTTAATTTTATGTTGTTTTATGATTACTCATGCAGAAGTAAGAAATAATGGCAACTTCCATGCGCTTAATAGGAGAAATCACTTCTCACCTTTATGAAGGTGAGTTTCAAAAAATAGAAACTCAATTTCATCTATTTTCTACCAAACAAACACTGAAACTCAGTTAAAAAATGTTAACCTCCAATCCTATTCCACAATTGACTCAATTAGACGTGCCAAAAAAGGAGAACAACCATTGTGGCATCACGTGAATTTTTTTAAATCGAAACACCTCAAACACAATCAAAGTCATCCAAATGTTGCCTATTTCACAAAATGAATTGCATCAATGAGTCTGAATCAAAGTTATCTGGAATGAAAATTATATTTCCCTATCTACCGCACGAAGGTTAACATAAAATTTGTCCACACATGAAGTGAGGACACACAATTCGATATGAAAAAGAAATTATGTACTATGTGAGGAGTTGATTCACATATTTATTACTATTATTATTATCTGAACAAATTTACTCAATATTATTATTATTACTATTATTATTATCATAGTGCTAAATGAACTTTACATGTAATATGTAACCACTAACAAGAAACGATAATAGAATCCAACCAACACATCGAGTAGATTACATTGAATGAGGTTATCAATCTAGATTATTAATTATAGAGCAAGAAACACAAATGTTTCATTAATGGAGGAACTAAGCAATAATACAAGCAAGAGATAAATGATATTTCCTTGAATCCTCTATCTAGCTTCTCTACTCCAAGAATCTCTCTCTTCAACAAGAACACTGTCCTCTTCTAGGCGTTAACTCTCAAGAACTTAATTTCTCCATTTAAATTGAAATCGAGTCCCCCAAGCCTTCTTCAATAGATTTTTGTAAGTACTACTCCATCCTGTTCAGGTTCCTCTAGTTTGACCTCTTCATGCTTTCACGATTCACTTGATCTCCTAATAATATGCCCCATCTTTAGGAGGAGATTTACTATTGTGAATCTAGTTATATAAGAGGGAACTCAATTTTTCTCTATTGAGCATACAACTTTTCTTTGGAGGCCACACCTCCTATTGATTTTCTATAGCGCCTTGGTGTCGTTGTGTTTCTCTTCTCCAAAAGCTATTCCTCTTTCAACTAATCCTCTTGGCCTAGCAATAAATCATTGAGAGGAGGTAGGACTTCTTCCATCTCATAATCCAACAAAAAAGGATTGAATGTCTTAACATTTTTCGCATTCACCGGAGAGTAGATCTCCATATAAAACCAATTAGTATGCATTGTCTCCAACCTTCTTTAAAATTTTGAACGACCTACACTACTTTGTTTGATCTTCCGAGCTCCCCTTCAATCTCTCCTATTGATGTAGAGTCATGCACTTTTTAAACTTCTTCTCTACTCAGTGCTAATCATGTCAACACTTATAATACAATTGTGATCTAGTAATCTGTAAATCTAACTCAAAGGAGGCTCTTTTTATTGTCTACATATCTATCTCAATGACCTTTATCTCGATTCTTAGGGATGATCATTGATTATGTAGAAAACTCCAAGTCAAACAAAAATTGAGCAAGTATACCACCATACCTCAAGTGGAGCATGACTTGCCGAACCATGTGCACCTTCTTGATTGCAAATTAAATTTATGAATACTTTATTACAAGTCATCAAATGTCATATATTGGATTAACACAATAGGTACACAGCAATTCTATAAATCAATAACCACCTCAATCTAGCCATCAATTTATAGATGAGGGTTGTGTTCCTCTTTAGTGTAATATCCATCTCAAAATGATTTCCAGAATCAACCAAGGACGTTGTAGTCCAAAACCAAGTTGTTCGAGCTTCGATAAATTGAAATGCATCTAAACATTCTTCAAAAAGAGAAAAGTTGCTTCGCTGCCCATTATGCTTTGTTAACATTCCATAAGTAAATCTTCTTTAAGAACCGTGAAACTCCTTAAGTAAAAGAAGCTAAACTCTTAAACATTGATGGGCTTTTAGGTGTAATGGTTGAAATTTCAATCAAGAACTTTGTAGTTAAGCGTGCTCATCCTGGAGAAATCTTGAGATGGGTGACCTCCTGGAAAGTTACACCAACATGACAAAACCGTGAGGCCCTTAGGCCAAAGCGGACAACTTCTTGATAGTTAAGAGTTTGAGTTGTTAAAAATGATATCAGACAAATACACCAGCTAGAAGATGAGAATTAAGTGTCATACAAAACAAAGTGCTACGTTATGGGAGGAACCTCTTGAACCTTGTATGGGACAAAGCGCTACATAGCGGGAGGCACCACTTGAACTTGTAGGAGCTACCTTTAGAATCCTATCTGCATGGTGGATGATTCTAGGATAAGAATACTAACCAAAATATCAGTTACATTAGTAGGGGAATATTGTGAAACCCCTTAAGTAAAAGAAGCTAAACTCTTAAACATCGAAGTTCCTTTAGGTGTAATAGTTAGAATTTCAATTAAGAACTCTGCAGTTAAGCAGGCTCGTCCTAGAGAAATCTTGAGATGGATGACCTCCTGGGAAGTTACACCAACAAGATAAAACCGTGAGGCACTTAGGCCAAAGTGGACAATATCTCGATAGTTAAAAGTTTTGGCTGTTACAATCAATCCACTATAATAAAAAATATAGTTATAACCACAACGGGTCAACCAAAATTCATCAAAGAAATCCATGGAGATACTCTTTCATGGTTGAGCCAATGCAGTCAGAGGAGTATATAGTCCTTGCTTTCAGTTTAAGGATTTTAAGATGCAATGGAGCACACATTCCCTTCAGGAATTTGGTGATATCAAGATGCATTCTCAACCAATAAACATATCTCTAAATGTTCTGAAGCATCTTAGTCACTTATAGAAGAATCCAACCTCCTTTCAAATATATTTCTTTCATCCACTTTTCTCAATCATCATCCTCATAAACACATTGTTAATTATCATTGTAGAAAATTAATTCCTAAAGGTATATCATTCCTATCGAGCACCTTCTAGTATTCTTCTGTAATGTCCAAGTATATATAAGTCAGCATATTTCTCATGTCGAGAAGATTGTAGCCATATTACTACTAATTGTCACCACAGGTCATGAGATCATATCAAACATCTTGTTTTACATTCCCTTTTTGTATTGATTAACAAAATTGAATTGTCACAAATATGCTATCCACTCCATAAGTTGCTTGATGAAGCTTTGATTGAGTTAGAAAGTATTTAAGTGATTTGTGATATATAAGCCCCAATTTTTTCACCAAGTAGATAAGGTCGCAAGTGCTTCACAGTTTCAAGAAGTATTAGTGATTCTTGATCATATGTTGCATAGTTCTTCAAGCACCTTGTATTAACTCCAAGTAGTACATTGTAGGTATTTCTTCTTGATTTAAAAGCATAGCTTCTTTGCCAAGTAGAAAAGGTCTCTAGTACTCAGTCTTTTGTGAAGTGTGAGTGATTCATTATTATAAATTTATTTAGTAGTTCTTATGAGCACCCGGTAGTAGCTTTGATTAATATGTTGTAGAACTCACTTCTCACATTAAAACCATATCGAGTGCTGACCAAAAACATTTGCCTCAATCTTGAATGGCTTTTACGTATTTTGCATGCTAAGAAAGACGCCTCACTTATCCTCCTTTTCAAAAGAAAAAACATGTCCTCATGTTTTCTCTCCCAAGAGAATTTATGGTTGACCTTTGTTAGTGAATGTAAAGATATCATTAGTATTGAAAAGTTGTGAATAAGCTTTCTAACGAATTGGCATGTTCCCATGAAGCCTTGCCTGCTAGTCACATTCCATGGCATAGGCCAATTCATCATTGCTTGCATTTTACTGGATTAATTTTGATCTACTGGTCACCAACTTCAAAGCCCAAATATAGTGAGGTCTTCTTCTCTAGGAGGTCGAACACCTTTAACACATGTTTGACAAATTCCTCCAATGTGCCAATGCATATAAGGATAGCATCAGAGATAGATGATCACAAAATCATGCATGAAAGATCTTAGAAAATAATTCATGACATGCCTAAACATTATCGATACATTAACTTGATGATAACCTAATTTCTTATCCAACTTTCTAAGGACTTCAACATTCTTTAGCCGGTCAAGTAAGGCAACTCTGGCAAGTGGGTATTGATTCTTCAT